CCTGTCTTCTGGTCACTCTCCAGCTAGCAGCTCTCTGGAGCGAGTCACCACAGGAGATGCCTTGAGAGGATATAGAGACCAAGTAGAGAGGAAAAGGGATGTCTGTTTTCTCCTTGTTGTTTTGCAGGTGGAAAACTCAATGTCAAATTCTCCTCCTCCTTTAGAATGTATTCTTAAACACTAAAAATTGACCCTCACATATTGAAAAAGAGCTGTTCAATATTTTTCCGCACCTGTGCATGACCTGCCTACCGCCTAGAGACAAAATAGAATACTGAGAGAAGTACTGATTATGATACTGCTCCATGACTAAAATTATATTGTAAGAGAGAGATGAAATGATCAGAATTACCTTATGTTCAGACACTGCATTAAGAGACAATTCTTAGGTGTGTTCAAAGTGTAAATATAAGCCACAGAAAAACCAGACACCGCTGGCCCTCAAGGCACAATTGGCCACATCTACTATTACTCAGTCTGAGGTTCCCCTCTCTTACCCTTTGGATCCTGAGGACAAGGTTCCTAAGGCAACCTTAATGAAAGTCTCACCTACTATTACTAAACCTGAAGTTCCCCTTATTGCCCTTTGAATCCAAAGGATGAGGTTTCCAAGCAACTTTAATCAAATCATCATCTTCTATAACTAAGCCTGAGGCTCCCCTCACTTGCCCTCCGGACTCAGGGCGAAGCTTCCAAGCCAACCTTAATTGAAGCCTCTACTGGGCTATATCCATCCCTATCTGATTTTTCCCAAGCTCTTTAAGGACAATATCCCTTACAGGAGCTAAGCAGAGAATTTGGCCCCACCCATACCCACGTGGGTCCTTTTCTCTCAGTTACTTCAAATAGATCAAATAAGATGTGGAAAAGTTTTCAAATGATCCTGACCAACACTGAGGTCTTTAGGGTACTTTATAAACTAGATTGAAAAGATGTAATATTACTCTTAAGTAAAACATTGACTTCTAATGAGAGACAAGCAGCATTACAAGCTGTCATTACATGGAGATGAATATTATATTGTTAATGTTAGACCAGAAGACAGGCAGCCAGGGGAACAGCCAGTGCCCACTGGAGCCCAAGCCATCCCTGCACAAGATCCCTACTGGACTACCAACCAGAGGGGAGATTAGAATAGGAAACATCTTCACATATGTGTTCTTAAAGGTCTAAGGAGGATGAGGACTAAGCTCTTCAATTATTTTAAATTGTCAACTATTCATCCAGAGAAAGATGAAAACCCCTCTGCCTTCTCAGATTGTTTATAATAGGCATTGATGAGACATACACCCCTGGCTCCTGGTTTGGTAAAAGGATAGATTACTCTTTTTTGTTGTTGTTTTTTGTTTTTTGTTTTTCTTCAGTACCAGGAACCGAACTCACAACCTTGCGCTTGTCAGGCAGGCACTTTGCCGCTGAGCTAAATCCCCAGCCTCAAGGATAGATTACTCTTAAAGACAAGTTTATTACCTAGTCAGCCTCGAATATTAGGGAAAAAAAGCTCCAAAAGATGGCTTTTGCTCCAGATAGCTCACTTGATACTTTAGTGAGAATTGTCTCCTCCATATTCTATAATCAAGACCAGGAAAAGGCCAAAGGAAGAAAACAAAGAGACCAAGAGAAAGTGGCTGCCTCAGTTATGGCCCTAAAAAAAAAATAGACTCTAAGTCTGATTCTCAGGGCTTCCAGAAGAGCTAAACTCACAATTAAATTCACCTGCTACTGCTATGGTGAATAATGTGTATATGGGCATATAGTGTATACCCTGATTATAAAGGTGACCACTAAAAGTAGATTGGCCCGAGATGAAAACCCCAGGGATCAGACCCATCTTACCAGCTGGCTCAGCAAGACTGAAGGGCCAGGGGCACTCTCTGCCTTCTCCCTCTGGCTGGACTGTCATCTCCATGGAGGAGCCCCAGGTAATCATGCCTATGGAAGGAAAAGAAACCAGACTATTGCTGGACCCTGGTGTGGGTCTCTTAGTCCTTCTTTTCGCTGCTTTCCCCTCATGGAGGCAGAAATAAACCCTAAAATATAGACAACTAAAGGTAAAATTAAAAGAGCCGTAAGAGCTGTCCCAATACAAATACATCTTAAAGATTCCACTGTGCTCCCTCAAGGGTTCAGAGACATTCTCTGGTTTATACATAAGAAAATTACTCTATCCACTTGACTGTCAGAAGAGTGGATTGCTTCCATCTTGACTACTGTGAAATAGTGCTTCTGTAAAATATAGGTATGAAAATGTCTGTAATTAGGTGATGCCATTATTTGCCTTTGTATCAGGGTACTGGCTTCCCAGAGTTAGGAGATACTATTTCACTTCCATTTTGAGGAGGAGAGTTTGAGAAAGACTGGTATAAATTCTTCCTTAAATGTTTGATAGAATTCACCAAAATTTGTCTGGTCTTGGGCTTTTCTTTGTTGGAAGGTTTTGGTTAATAATTCAATCTCTTTACTTACTGGTCTACTGAGATTTTCCATTTTATCTAGGTTATCTAATTTATTGTTATATACTTATTCATATTATTGTCATCTTTTAAAATCTCTGCAGGGTGAATACTACTTCTATGTCTGTTATTTGTGTCTCCACACTTTTCTGTCAACCTAGTTACAGGTTGGTCCATTTGTTGATCTTTTCAAAGAACCAACCTCTGGTTTCATTGATTTCCTTTTTTTGTCACTATTTCATCTACATCAGCTCAAATGTTTATTTACTCTTCTCATAGCTGAGTTTAGTTTTCTCTCCTTTTCCTATTTCCTCAAAGTGTAAAGTTAGGTACTTGATTTGATACCCTTTTTTAAAGTTTCATTTTTAGGTACAGATTTCCCTCTGAGCACTGTCTTCACTATGCTGCAAAAATTTTCCTATATTTCACTTTCATCTATCTATAAGCATTCTTTCTCTCTTTTTTTTTTTTTTTAGGATATTTTCTGTGACCTACTGGTTGTTTAAGAGTATGTTAAATTTCCAAATATCTGCTAATTTTCTAGTTTTCTTTGTGTGATTGCCTTCTAGTTTCATTTGACTGTCGCCAAAGAAGATACTTTATATGATTTCAGTAGCTTTAAATTTAACCTGTCTGTTGCCAAATATGGTTTCTCTTGGAGACCATTCCCTGTACACTTGAGGACATGTATTCTATAGCTGTTAGGTGGAAAGTTCCATATATGTCTGTTAGGTCCAGGTGATTTATAATGTTGTTGAGATCCTCTATTTTCCTTCTGATTTTCTATCTAAATATTCTCATTATTAAAAGAGGGATACTGAAGTTTTAAAATTTTTTTGGTACAGTCTATTTTGCTCTTTATTTCTATTACTTCATGTGTTTTGCATCAGCATTTGCTTGGCTGCTGGAAACCTATGGTTGTTTTTCCGAGTTCTGACAAAAGTATTCCACATATTTTTTGCTTATTTTCCAGTTGCTGTGGAAAAACGGGAACATGGGAGTTTCTATCCCACAATTTTGAAAGTGGGTCACCCAAGATGACTTTTTAACACCATTTACTTTAGAGTAGAAAAACAAAACAAACACAAAACAGGGAAGATTTGACACAACTGAGCTTCTATAATAGACACATGATGCTACATTCCTTACATCTATTTTTTCTGTTCCATGTTTACCCTTGAGTAACCTTGAGGAATTACAGAGCCTCAAGAAATGAAAAGGTTTGAAAAACTGATCATTAAAATCCCTTGATATTTATGACCCTAGTGTCTGTGATCTGGTGTCAGAAATACTTAAATAATAATTTTAGCTTAGATTATCTCTTGCTTGTTTTCTAACTTATTTTTTAAAGAAGCTTTATAACTTCTAGCTGTGTTTTCAGTAAGTTGGTAAATATGGATATGCAAAAAGAATAAAATAATCTGTGATCTCATCTCCCTGAGATAATTGCTGATATTTCTCACATTTGTAAAATAACTCTAATTCAGGCCAATATTTTCTTTATATCAATTATCACAGTGGTATCCATTTATTTACTTTAGATCACATCCATGTTTATATCTATGTTAGGAAGCCTATTATGTAATGTTACAAAATAGGTCATGTCATGTGTTAGACAATCTTTCACTACCAATCCTCAGTGACTGTATCTCCAACACAATTCAACAGAACAAGTAACAGGTTAATTGCCCAGTTGATTTGTAACAAGATTTCTAGGTTCTGAGTTTCAACATCCTTCTCATTCATGACTACCAGGTAAGCTTTGCTCAATTTGAACTTTAAAAAGCAACAGGATGGCTTCTTACAGTTGAAGTCTGTATATGCATAAGTAAGAGGTGAGGTTGGATAGCTTTTCCATAGCCTGTTCAGCTCAGCATTCCAAAGGCTCAAATTATTCTGCACAATCACATGGCTGTGACAGAGCTTGAAAATTCCATTGTCCTTTTAGATGTACTCAGTCAGAACTTATAATCAGTTGGGTAGCTACTGCATCTATCTTTTATGGCTCCGCAGACAGTACTTCACACACTGTAGGTATTCAAAAATATTACACAGAAATTAAGAAAGGGCAATCCATAAAGGGAAATGGATTAACACATGTCTATTTTTTCACATATCCATTATTAGTAGTTGAGAAAACCTCAAAATATCTATGCCACAAGTAGTAGATCTATAGTGTTAGATTCTGGCACCATCATTACAATATTGTGTCCTAAAAGAGATAATTCAACAAGAATTTTTTGACTAGGATTTTGGTAATTGTAGCAAAATATAATTGAATTAGTGTATTTCCTCCATTGTCCAGACACAGTTTGAGGGACTGTAGAGGCGGCAACGACTGTAAAAAAACATAGTGTACTCAAAAAATACTTAATATTATAATAGGCAAGACAACTGACACATAATTAATACACAAATGAGCCATGGTATTGTGTCAAGAAAGTTTGCGTTTTTTGAATTGAAGGTAAAGAAAATTTGAAAGACAACCAGTCTAGTATATAGGTGGCTGTTATGAAATGCACAAGAAATAACGGCTGCTAATGGAAGGTTAAAAAAAACTTTGGAAACAAGTATTTCATTACCTTGATCTTGATAAATTAGCCCTTTTCCCCAAAAAAAAAAAGCATGAGACAGGTTAAATGTGAAGTTATGCAACTGGTATTTTAGAACAAAGAAATCGTTGTGAATTGTAGTAAAGGAACTATGAAGATGGTCCTTCAGCTGGGTGCCAATGGATGAGCGGGACTTAGGTGGGCAGAAAAAACATTACAATTTAATCAGAACAACGTGACTAAGTACAGAGGTCAGCGGAAGGTTATTGAAAGCAGGAAGAAAGCAACCTAGGTGGAGTAAACTGTGTTTTCTGGGCAGCAGGTTGACTGAGTGGGTGGAGCCAGGTTAACAGTGATTACAGGGATGGGAGTTGCAAAAACGCTAAGATGAAGATAAGAGAGAAATCACAACTTGACTATGATAGTATAGACATTCTTCATTTAAAAACTGAGTTGTGCTCCTGCTCTGTGACTAGGTCATTAAATAAGGAATTGTATATAGTATGTACATTATAATACACATTCAGAACAAAGAAAGGGTCAAAGAAAACTGTAACTTGATACTTTGCTTTTATTTGCATTACTCTTGTATGCATTACTCTTCCATTAATGTATAACAGAACATAAAACTGCACTAATATACTGTACAGTACAATCAGCAAAAATCACAATACTGCATAAATAAGGTGTACTGTACAAGAGAAAAGACACTGAGGCTGTATCAACAAGATGTACAGAACTGTACAAAAAAAGAGATGGGTCTTAAGTCTGACTGGTAGGTCATAAATACAAATAGAGTGCCCTGATTATAAATCAAAACAGTTGTTACCCAGGTGGGTCACTAAACAGGAACATCTGTACAACTTTTCAAAGGAAACTATCAAGGGATGCAAAGTAATGATGAATAGGAAAAAAAAAAAAAAAAATGGAGCCGAGCATGGTAGTATACGCCTGTAATCCCAACAGGAGGGAGGCTGAGGCAGGAGGATCACTGCAAGTTTTGAGGCCAGCCTGGGCTACAAAGTGAGTTCAAGGCCAGTCTGAACTGCATAGTGAGACCTTGTCTCAAAAACAAAAAAAGAGATTAAAAAGTGAAGAAATAACTTTACCAACTAACAGAGTTATGCTTAGGACAGGTATCTAATTTGAAAAGATAAAGATGAGAAAAAGATGAGTTAAGACAAACATTTGTTTTGGATGAAAATTAGGGGTACCACTTCTCTATACTTGAAAAGGTTATTCTATAAAATCAGTTTAATGCCTAGGATGACCATAATGATGCTTTACTTGTTTGCTTGTCTTTGTGGTACTGAGGATCAAAGCTATGGCTGCTCTACCACTGAGTTACATCCCCAACCCACTTTATTTTTCATTTTGAGATAGGATCTTGGTAAGTTGCCCAGGATGGCCTTTGAACTTACCAGCCTCCTGCCTCTGCCTCCTGAGATTTACACTGGATTCCTTTCTTCAGTCCCCTTCCCCCCATTTCACAAGAAAGTCCCCAAAAGCTTTCTCCTTTGAATCTGTATTTTATGGCTGATATTACGGACTGCAAACTCAGATATTTTCAGGGACCACGCAGTAAGGCTAGTGATAAGGAAATAACAGATGGCAAACACAGCGCTGAAATAGAAAATCATATTCTAATTAAGATTTTTAAAAATCGAAGGGCAAGCAGAACATATCATTTAAGTCAAACTGCTGCCAGATCATCTTGAGACTTCTGGAGAGAGGCAGATTCTTCTGCATATCCCGTCATTTGTATCCTATCACTTACAGTCCACAAGCATAGGAAACGCCAAGCTCATTTGCCATTTTCCTCACAATCACTTAGTGTGGGTGTGGGAAACATGATGAGCTCCACCTTATCTGAGTTTCCGCTCCCGTCGTTTTTCTTCCCGGTAACAGCATCTTCTCAGCCAGTCCAAGCTACAGAGGAGGTCCAGGCGAGACACCACCTCTTCCTCAAACCCACAGAACCAGCTCTTCCGCCCCGGGGCGGAAGTGGGCGTGGCCGCGGGCTCATTCTGGGCGGGGCGCAGGCCGCGGGTGGTGCCTGCGCGCTGGCGGGGCGGGGGGGGCGCGTCGGGCGCGTTTCTTGGCCCTGGGGCGCGGCGCGCTGCCTTCCAGTCCGTCGTCGCCGGGTTTCCGGGGCTGCCTTTCGGGAGCGCGCGCCGGAGGTTCTCGCGGGTGCCGGGGAAGAAGCGCGAGATGGAGGCGGAGGATGCCCAGGGTCCCCGGGAGCGGCGCGGCCAGGCCGCGGCTCAGAGGCCGGAGCAGAACCATGTGCAGCCGCAGTCCGGGACCAACGGGCTTCCCAAACAGTCCTACTGGCTGGACCTCTGGCTCTTCATCCTGCTGGACGTGGTGTTGTTTTTCTTCGTGTACCTTTTGCCCTGGTGAGTGACTGCAGGGAGAAGGGGCTCGGAAACCTGGAGCCGGGCTCTCCGGAGGCGCAGAGCGCAGGGTCCCGGGCTGGACGTGTCCCGGACCGCCGCGGAGGGCGGGGCCGGCGAGCGCGGGGAGATCGAGGTTCAGCCCGGGTGACCTTGTCATCGCCGGGGGGCTTCCGGCGCCGTGGGGAGACGTTAGTCACCATTTTCCTCCTTGTTTCCCAGTAAAACCAGTTGGGCTTGAGTTCCTGCACCTCCAGGAAGGATCCGGAGACCCAAGTCCTGGCAGCTTCCTTTTCTCATGTACTGTTGGGTCCATCGTGACCACACAGGAAGGGTGTAGTTGAGCTTAAAAGAGATGGTGATTCATCTAGAAGCCGTGTGTAGCAGGGTTGTAAATATTCAGCAACGACATGGTTACTTTCTAACTGGCCATGAGCGGTATAGCAAACTTCAGGTCAGAATCTGAACTTCCGTGTGTTTACCGTTCAGTGTTTTCATCTCATAACCCTCCGCTTTGTTTACCCGATTACTCCTTCTCGAAACCCAGACCCGCACCTGATGAGATGCAGTTCTGCAGCGCGCCCCCATTGTCACTGCCACTCACTCCGAAAAGGGATAACGAGCCAAGAGAACTGGGGAGGAAGCCGTAGAACAGGAAGGGGAACAGAGGATTGAGATAAGGGGCAAGTTCGAGAGACCAGTGCAGGAGCCAGAAGACGGAAAGACCTCTGAAGGAAAACAGCGCAGCGTGTTTAAACAGCTCTCTCGGACTTTGGAGTTGATATCCACTCACTGGAAGTTAACTCCTCAAACTTTTAATTTGAATTTTTTGATAGGCAATTCTTGCCTTTGCCCCACAAAACTATCCTACATTGTGTCAAAGCTTAGAGTATCTTACACTTTATTATTTTTGATTTCTTGGACGGTGTGGCAAATCGGGAGACAGAGTTGAATGGGAGAATGGTGACGGGGAGGAGTATTTCAATAAAATTCTCTTCTAAGACCTTTGTTAAAGGGCGTTTCAACTGCCCCCACCCCAGTTTTGATAGGGGCAGTGGTTTTTCTTTTAATGCCCTCAAGTTAGAAAACGGAAGTCTTGAAAAAAATGGTCTAGACTGCTTTTTGCTCATATTATGTAAGTCATTTAGGAATAGGAAAGTCAATCAGGAGTTTCACAGGTTGGCATAAAGTGTTAAAAGGAGATGAAAGGAAATGTTGCTGACAAGTACTCCTTTCTTACAGACTGGTTAGCTGATAGCCCAGGAAGTTGGCTTCTCGAGTGGATTCCGATGACAACTACAAAGTTCTTGAATAAAGAAGATATGACTGTGTTGCAGCAGAATTTCCAACTTCTTCCTCACATCTAACACATTAACTTATTGGAAAACGATCTATAAGTAATGATCACACTTATAGATAACTCAGAACTAGGTCCATTGGTTCCTATGTGAAAACTTTTCAAACATCTAATAATAGCTTTACAAAAACTGGCTATGAAAATATTTGTACTTAGATGTTTAGTATATTAAGAAATGTTAAATACGCTAACATTTTAAAGGTTGGTCAGTTTTTAATTTGATACAAATAATATGGTGTATAATGAGGTGAGGTACTTGTACATTCAAAATAACTTTGAAAGAAGGGATTTTGAGAGCATGAAGTATTTTTAGATTGCATAAAGACTAAATAAGGAAAGCTATACAGAAAATATAAGCCCCTAATGTGTTGGCTCTAAAAACTTAATTTTTAGATTGAGACTTAGGAAAAGATACGTTGTGGTTCACAGCTTGATACATGACCTAGACAAAGTAGAAATCAGAATGTGTTACCCCTTAATTCCTTTTAAATTCTTGAGTGCCCTAAAAGAAGATTGTTTCCAAACCTATTTATTACTATTGTAGTGAGTACGCTTGTAGCCAAAACATATTTTTATAATGCCTGTAACTGTGTTAAATATTTGAACAATGTCAGTTGTGATACATACTCATTCACCTGGAGCCTGATTGCCCAAGCATTATTTAGACACAGCAGGGAACCAAAATGCTTCACGGAGCCTACTTTCTCATTTGTCTTTTTACAAAATCTTATGTTATTTAGTAAGAATTTGTATGCTATCTTGTAATGAATGTAATGTACTGAAAACGTGTTAACTTTTAAAAAGTATTAAAAAAATTTAATTCCAATTTACATTCCAAGGCGATCAGCTGGCATTTCAAAAGCCATACTCAAAGCAGCTGCTATAGAATCACTTGGGAAGCTAGTCTTTTTAGCGTAAAAAGCTTTATATAATGGATTTTAGAAACTGACTCATTAAAAATCAGTGGTATTTGATTTATATGAACTGTCTGAAATATTTTGGGGTTATTCTTTTCCCTTTAAAAAGACATGCAATCTAGGGGCTGGGGATTTAGCTCAGCGGCAAAAGCGCCTGCCTGGCAAGCACAAGGTCATGAGTTCGGTTCCCGGTACCAGAAAAAAACAAAATAAAAAGACATGCAATCTGGTAAACTTTATACCCTCATGATTCAGAATGGCTCTTCGAACTGGAATCACCTGGAATTGATTTTGGAGGATTTTAATTGGCTTAATGATCATAAAGTTAATTCTACCTTCGAGATATTTCATCTGCCTGAAGAGAACCTTTCTTGAAGGTGTGGTTAAACCATCTGGGATTTCACTGAGTTTACTAAATATATGACCTGTTTTTTGTGCTACTTACTAATTATATTGCCTAATAAATGTTTACTTATGTAGCTGAATGTCGTTTTGTTGTATAAAATTAATTGGTGGTGAGGTTAAATATGATTAATAGTTTTCACATATCTTACAGTTAGGTCACAAAGATAATCCAGTCATTATCTATTATACCTTTCTAAGCCTAAAACCAGGCTACTGTCACAACTAGCAGATACTCTGAAAATTTTAGTACAGCGAGGATGGAGAGATCTTAGTGTGCTAATTTTCTGTGTCAGTTTGACAGGGCTGAGATCCAAGATAGCTGGTAAAAGCATCCCTGGTTATGTCCGTTACGGTATTTCTAGAGATTGGAATTTGAATGTGGGTGAGAATCACCCTGTCCTCTGAGGTCCTGGAGAAATACAAAGGCAGAAGGGCAAATTTTCTTCGTCTGACCTGGGACATCATCTCTTTTGGTTCTCAGGCCTTCAGAGTTGGACTGCAACTGCACTGCCAACTTTGCTGGGTGTCTAGCTGTAGTGGAAGTTCATGGGACCTGTGAGCTTTAATAATCACGTAAGCCAATCCTTCATTCTACGACTAGTGCACAAAATCGTGGGAGTATGAGTGTTAAAACTTTCCCACATTAAGCTGTGTACCCACTGCTGTGCCAGGTAGTGAACTTTACAGTGCCAACATTTTAGATGTGTAGATAGGACACCAAGCAAATTTCCAAACTCGCAACAAAGACAGACATCAAGAGTAACCAATATGATTTTAATCTGATAAAATTTTTTATCAATTCTACATACTTGATTTCATGTAAGTAAAATGACTCTTCAGCAGTTCCATTTGAAATGAACTGACTTTTGAGGGGTCTTTTATTTGAAAGTTTTAAGATGTAAAGAACTCCTAATATGTAATCTCTACACACACCAATACATTTGGAGAGAAACCAGTATAATATTTACAGTTAGTGAGTGTACTTAATATAGATGATGCCTAGGACAAGGTCAAAACAGGGCCACTGGGCCAAATCTGGCTTGCTGCCTGTTTGAGTGGGAAGGCATTTGACCAAAGAGGAGGTTTCGCATTTTAAAATGACTGGAAAATGTCAAAAGGCTTTCATAAAACTTGAAAATCATACACAATTCATACCCCAGTAGCCATAAAGTTTTATTGGAAATTAGCCATGCTTATTTATTTACCTACTGTTGGTGGCTGCTTTCAAGTACAAGAGCAGAGCTCTACCGTTGCAAAGACATGGTCCACAAAGCTTAAATCATATATTATCTCATCTTTTATAGAAAGTTTGCCAATTTCTTTAGGAACTGTGCTTTAGACTTTACAGGAGTTTTAACTTAGGAGTAACCCTGTGAAATTCTAAATACCCTTGAACTTTAAATTGACTCAACATTTCTGGTAAAAATATCCATATAGGAGAGGGAAATATAATTCATGAATGCAAAGAAATGTCCAACAATATTCTAAGTATCTTAAACATTATAATATTTGTTGGTTGCATTATTTAAAAAGTTATGAGGCTCATAACAGATGAAAACATCTATAAAAATAGGCACCCTAGAAGTAAAAATTTCACATGTGAATGATTAGTAAACATTGAATCCATAGTAGGAGTGTTGAGTCAACAGAAAAATGGTCATCTCTAGTTTGGTACTAAAGTACACGATTCAGGAGGCTTTTACTAGACAATACATTAAGAAATTTGAAAAGATAATGACACCCCTGTTTAAGTACAGAAATTATAGTTTCAAATTATATAGTTCCAACCAAACACTGACAAAATAGAAATTAATCTACAGACAAGCTTTGGGCAACTATTAAAAATACTTGAAGCCAGTTTTTTCTAGTATTTTACAACATCACAAAAGCAGTAATTCAAAACATTGATATTTAAAATACAATTTTATAAAGTACATTATTTACAAGACCTCCACTCTAAAAACTGTTAAAAATAAGCTTCTTGAAAGACAAAATTTAGTTTGATATCATGTATTTCTACCTTATGAGAATAGTGGTAATCACTAACTCAGACAAGGCCAGTAGAGAGCTTTTTACAGGGAGGATAAAATTTGGCCAAGATTTGATAAATGGGTAAAGTTAAAGTTTTACAACAAATTATTTTCTACTTACTCGAAAGTATTCATTTTTAACCACTTACATTTTAGAACTTTTAATGTAATTATTGGAACTGGTCAAAATACTAAATTTACTAGTTTAATGATACATGAAGTTATATTTATGAAGTCTATAAAGGAATGTAAAGAAAACTTTAAAATTCTCAATTCTCAGGTATTATAAAACTTCTACATTGCAATTAGTTTATCAGCTTAGTAGAAAATAAAATGACAACTAATGAAATAAGGCCATTAAAGTAACTTATTTGTACTTATTAGTTCACCATAATAATGAAAATTCCTTTAGTTTTTTAAATACAACCTTCTCCATGAAGGTAGTTGGCATAAAATTATCATTTGAGAAAAAGTGGGAAAGATGCCCAAATAAACATTTCATTAAAATTCAAACCTGTATCTAAAGGCAGAAATTTATGCTGGAAACCGAGAACATAAAATAAATTGACAGCCTAATGAGCAATGAGATTAGAGCAGAGGAAATTTAGGCAGTTAACAGTGACAGTCTGAATAAGGGGGCCCAGGGTTAATTCCTAACACTGGTTATTAGCAGCCCAAAGTCAACCAAAATAAAAACCTTTCACATTTCATATAAAATTAGAAAAAAAAAATGTAACAAGATAAATAAATATACTAAAGTTAAGCTTACATGGCTGAAGTAGTATTTATGAATACATAAAACAGTCAAAGGCCTACTTTACCTTAATTAGATATTCTGAAAATAAAAGTTCTAAGAGCGAAGTTAGTTCTACCTGACCCTGACAATTTAAAAATTGTTATTAAGGCATTTTCCCCTAAAAGCTATGAAATTCATGGGTCAATTATTTTTAAGACACTTGAAGGGATCATTTATTTGTGGCAGACTATCACAGAAGTCAGAAACAAATGGGTGAGGCCCTCTTTTGTTCACCCGTTAGAAAGTGCTTTTCAAAAAGCAAATACTGCTTTAACTAGACAAACTACGTATTACCTGGCATTTTTCAACAGCATAGTTTAACAATCTACATACATGAGTTCTGGTTGATTTAATACTTACGGGTCTACTAGCTACTTAATAGGGGGATGGTTTTTATTCAACTGTTACATATGGCAAATAAATTATACACTCTGATTTTACATTTTTTAAGGCATGCAAAACTATTCAAAGGGAATTTCTAAACCATCCACTAAATTGATCATCAAAAAGTAAAATAACGTACACACACACATGCACACTCATACACACACGAAGTTAAGGTGATTAATGACATGGGTTTTAATTTTATGTATCACTAGGTTTGATCAAAAGATACACTATAGTCTAATAGCCTGGAGGCTAAGCTTGCTGATTTCATCATCTATCTGTTACAGTGTATGCTAGGTTTATATCCTTGCTCAACAGGGCAGCTTGAACCAAGACTGCTATGTAACACAGGTCCAACCTGTCTTTCACTCTGAGATAGTGAATTATCATTACAAAAGTCACTGCTCTCTGGAAAATAAAGCTTGGGCCTCTGATGGTATTTCAATCTGTATGTATCAGTCATACAGCTATCAACTGAAAAATAGGTAGTTAGTGAAACTGGTTCGTCTTCGCTCACAGAACCGAAGCCTTGTTCTGGTTGACAAAACGCATCAACAACTGCATCTGAGTTTGCCGGAAACTTAGTGGCTGAAGTTGAAGAGTTGGCTGAGTAGTTTTGTGGGATGTCAACAGGCTGTTTAACTTGAATCGTTTCTTTACATCTCTCATCACTCACATATGTACTTGCTTCTAAACTTGGTTCTGAAGTTGTCCTTAAACTATGCTTTGGAAAACCAGAAGAAATAGTTTTAACAAACATTTCTGTAAGTTTGACATCCGATATAGATTCATTCTGCTCTGGCTGTGGCACACTGGTTACAGCATATTTCTTTGGCGGCAAGGGGGGTGGTAGATTCTGGCAAATAAAATTTGGCATCTGACAACCTTCAGATCTGCTGGTTGTGTGAGTTATATGTTCCCTGGATAGAGAGTTCATGGAGTAACACTGTTCCATCATATTTTGCTGTTGGGTGAGGGGAGCAGTTTCTGGCTTTAACCCAACAGTTCTCGGATGCGAAGAACACAGTAAAGATGATGAGATTATTTCATTTCTGTCTACTCTCTTTGCAGGTGCAGAACTGTCATCACCATGAACAGGCCAACTTGGTCTCTCAGAATTTTCTTTACTAAGCCATTCAGAAAATTTGCATCCATTCGGTTTTTCAAATTTCTGTTCATCTGATTGGTGGATATGGTCTTTTGTAGTATGGTCCTTGAGCATTTGTAGGCTGGATGAAGAAAATAACTTTCCACTGCTTTCATGGGTATCTGGCCTGAAATATGAAAATGAAAACAAAGCTAAAACACAGTATGGAGGGGCTGGGGATTTAGCTCAGCGGCAAAGCGCCTGCCTGGCAAGCACAAGGTCGTGAGTTCGGTTCCCGGTACCGGAGAAAAACCAAAACAAACAAACAAAAAATAAAACACAGTATGGAAATATGTGAAACTGGAGGAAAACAGACATTTGTAGTTTGATTTTCCTAATATATGGTTTATATTATTTTGCCAACATAGCAACAGAAATAGGAAGTATTTTGCAATCAATAACATTTTCAATTCTCTCCAAACCCAAACCTGTATACCAGAATACATGAATACTTAATGTGAACGTTAATCATTAACAAAATCATGTTTTTCCACCTTTTTTCTTTTTTGTATAGTACTGGGGATTGAATCCAGGACCTTATGCATGCTCAGAGGTGCTCTGCCACTTAGCTGTACCTTCAGTCCTCAAGTCACATTTCTAATCATTAGAAATCTAAGTTTAAAACTTGTTTTTTTCTTATCTTTTTAATTTTTTAAAATTTATTTTAAGAATAAAAGAAGGAAAACATATTAACAGACATCCATTTACAAAACAGCATAAGAACAATACATGCAATACAGTTACAGACCAAGTGGTAGGAAATTAACAATGGTTGTTGTGTTATGTATTGATATCTTCAAAGTGGTTTCTCAGGTAAACAAATACAGACATGCAAGACTAATCAAATAATTAATCATTAACTGTTCCTTTCAGTAAAGCAATACAAGTCAGTAGTACAACTATGTTTGCTATTCTGTATATACATGCATACATAATTTCCCCTTCTTTCTTGTCTCTGTTCCCTCACCCCAGTTGCTCTTTACTTTTGAGCATTTTCCTTTTGTTTCCCAATGTCTGTCATACCTCCTGATTTTTATTCACTCTTTCAGGTTCTTACACTAAAACTTGTATCTGTGATAAAATATACAACATAAATGTGAGAAGAGAACTCAATACTCTAAAGCACTTTCTCAACAACATCACAAAGTTCAAAGACAGAGATATTTAAATTCTTATATATAATTCTATAAAGCTAGTACACTAATTTTAAATAATTTTGTTAAGATTATATTAACCTTTAAGATGAAGTGCTGCCATGTTGCAGATTATATTTCTCATATGACTAAACTATTTTTCATCATGTAAGTTACATGAATTAGAGCAGAATGGCTTGGCTAGATAAATATGGTTATAATAAAATCTCAGCCCCACTGCTTTAAGTACATTACTTAATCTAAAGCTCAATTTTTTATAATAAAATACAGTAGTCCCCATTATCCATGATATTGGTTATGCATATTCTGCTGGGGCCTGAAAATATTAAGTGGATATTTTTGTTTGTGATACTGGGAAATAAAGCCAGAACATTCATATGGAGCTACATCCCTATTCCCTTTTTTAGTTTTTGAGACAAGGTCTAAGTTGCTGAGATGTTCAGGCTGGGCTTGAACTTGTGATCTTCCTGCCTTCAGCTGCCAGAGTGCTGTGATTATAGGCTTACAACATAAGCCCAGATATTAAGTAGAAAATTCCTAAGATAAACAATTCATGAGTTTTAAACTGCATGCCACTATTCTAAGTAGATGAAATCTCCTGAGGTCCTTCCTGGGATGAAAATCATTCCTCTGTCCGGGTTATCTACACTGTTTCCCGTATCTACCCATTAGTCTCTCAGGTCTCAGAACCACTGTTATCATCGTGGTATCACAGTGTCTTCATGAAATCCTGTTTTACTTAACAGTGGCCCTAAAGCAGCAGCATAGTGACAGTGGCAACTCAGATATGCCAGAGAAGTTGGGGGAAAAAAGTGGGATAGGGTTGCTAAAATCTACACTAGGAACAAACCCTCTAGAAATTTGTGCTACTTTTGGTATCACACATACCTCAAACTGCAAAAGTTATAGCCACAGGGCATAAGTGCTCAATTCAGTTGTCAAAGGCATTAAACTCATGTAGGTTAATACATGTAGAACTTGGTACTATTAGCCATGGTTTCAGACATCTACCAGAGTTCCTAGAATGTGCTCCCTTCCACACTCTACCACCTACCTACCTTGTAAGAATGCCAGGCATATTAGAACAATTAGGCACTGTACCTGCAGGCACTTTGCAGGCCCTCTACTCTGAGGTCCACATTCTATGAATGACTCCCAATAAACAGATATCAAAATACTGTAGACCTAACTGCTTTTTATATTTATGCCTCCTGATAAAGAGTTCCTATGATATGCATTTAGGAAAAATGGTTTTAAAATTTACAAATACCTACATTTACCTTTTTATTAGAGAATTTTCTATATGTAGATGTGACTCTGGGTGGAGCTCATGAGATTTATAGCCTGTGTCCAAGTCCTTAAATTCTTTTCCAAAGCCTGGGGTAGGGAGAAGGGGAAAAGAGAAGAGGAAAACAAAATCATTGAAATGACCTCACACAGTTATTTCACTTATACTTACACGAATCTTTCCATAAACATGTACTTCTCATCCAATTAAAAAGCAAAACAAAAATGAATTCTTTAAGACTTAATTGAAAATAACACCAGTGCAAAATCAGTGGTTCTCAGTTTATCTCACTCAAGGATGTGAGGTCAGTACAACACTATGTAAACATTTCCCCATGGTTGGGGGTAAATCTAACTAACCAGAAAGAGTCAGGTAAACTCTTTAATGAGTATAATGATAGAAAAATCCTGCACGTGAAGATAGATGGCTTGGGTTAAATTTAGATACACTTACGGGCTGGTAACTTTCAGTGAGGCCTTTAATCACACAATCTGTCATTCTGCTTACTTCACAGCATTATGGGGAACACCAACTGAATTGAAATGAGTAAGCATGTATCATGACAGCATAGAAGATAGACCACTATTATTTCGGTACCATTTATGAACTGCTGACTCAATTTGTAAACAGTTGATATTTTACTGAATATTTACAACAACCTGATGAAGAAATTATCACCATCTCCATTTTATAGATGAGGAATCAGAGGCTTACAAGGTGAGAGAATTTATTGAAGATTACATAACATAATTACCAAATGCAGAACTAGTCCTGTAAAATTCAAAGGTTAGTGCTCTTTGCTTTTTTATTTGTACGTGTCTGGAGTATGTGAGGTTACATTCGTCTTAGGGAATGGGCATGTACTGAACATATCTTGATTCTTTTTATTCCCCTTTCTCACCCCACCCACCTTCCTCCCTCCATCTCGATTCCCTTTCCCCATTTTCATTCCCTTGTGTGCCTGACTTATTTCACTTAGTATTAGGTTTTCAAGGTGTATCCATTTTCTTACAAATGTCTTGAACTGATCCTTTTGTAAGGCTAATATTCTATTACATAGGGAACACATTTTTTTATCCATTTGTCTGTTGATGGACATGCAGGCTGCTTTAAGGAGTCAGCTTTTACAAATTGTGCTGCTATAAACACTGGCATATTTATATCTCTGTAACATGATGTTTTAGCTGTTTGGGGGAGATAATCTAGAAGTCAAATAGCTGAGTCAAATGGAATTTCTAGTTAAAAGTTTTTTTGAGAAGTTTCTATATGAGTTTTCATAATGGTCTTACCAGTTTACATTCTCATAAACAATGTAAAAGTTATTTTTTCACCACAGCCATGCCACCATTTATTATTATT